GCTGGGTATTGCAGAGGTCGAGGGCTCCACAATGACAAGACAGATGCAGAGGGGAAGCAGTTTGGGGTGAAAGTAAGTTTAGGATCTTAAACCAACCTCTAGAATGTCTAAAGGATCAGTGTTCTGCAGGGGCTGTTCTCCAATGGTGCATAAAAAGCCTCCAGTAATGAGTTAGTGAAATAGTGCATGAATGTGAGTAACTTGCTGGACACAGGGCAGGGGCTGCCCAGGAGGACTGCAGAGTCTGAGAGCCTGTGGCCAAGGACCATGTATGAGTCAACAGGGTGGAAAAAGGGAACAGCCCGCAAAGGAGGGAGAGGAAAGTCAGGAGAAGGGAGCCCAGAGAGATTATCACAAACACCAAGAGCCGGGAGTCACCAAGAGGCCCAGAGTCGCATGCTGTCTCCAGACAGGGTGAGTTAGGCTGACAGTGGGGCAGGTAGGTGAAAGCCAGTATTGGTGAGTGAGCATCTGTGTCTGTGTGGATGTGACAGGATGGGAGACCACTCCTGGGAAAGGTCATGGAGGGAGGCTTCAGAAGATGTCCTCACCCCTTATATAGCTCGTCTATGTGACTCACAACACATGTGGGCGCTTCTCCACAGAGCTGTCCTCATGACTTTTTCTACCAAGGGATTACAAGCCATGGCCACGTTAATTTGTGAGTTATTTGCACATCATTTCGAGGCAACTGGGGAGAGCAAGATTGTATCACAGCCATACTTTAGGAGCATTTATAGAAAACCCAAAGCCATTCGATCAAGTTTATTGCTGTGGTTCATTTTTAATTCAAAGGCAAACTAAAAGCATAGGAATCACTTTAACACAGGGGTTGAAGAAATCTACTGTTTCAAGGCCATAATAATCTGTTCATCATCTCCATAATTGAGATCCACATATATTATTCCTACCTCAAATAGTTTGTTCCAGAGCCAGGATGAGTTGGTAAAGACTCCAGTGGCACCTGAACCCAAAGCTATGTCCATGGCACCTGCAAGACACAAGCTGTCAGGTCAACTGCAGTCTCTCCGCTGGGCCTGGAACCCTGCCTGGCCTAAGGGATCGCTCAGTAAATACTTACTGAAAGGAAAAGGCAAAACTTACTGCCCATTGCTCCTGGGACAGTCCAGTACCACTGGTACTAAAATACGCATACGAATGTCAGAGGAGACAGCCCCAAAGTCGGGGAAGTTCTGTAGTCCTCACAAGGTGGCACTTGCTCCCTGCAATGCAGAGTATGTGCCGGCTGCTCCTCGCTCCTGAAGTGTGGCTTTGCACGAACCTGCTCGTCAGCATCTTGCTCAAGGAAAATGGAAACCTGAGATGCTACTACATATGGTTGGCCCTCTGTGTCCACAGAGTCTACATCTGTGGATGCAACAACCATGGATCGAAAGTCTTCGAAAGGAAAAAAAAAGAGACAGATGACTGCATCTGTACTGACCATGTGTGTGCAGAGGTTTTTTCTTTGTCATTCCCTAAACATTGCGGAATAACAACTATTTATATAGCACTTACATGGTATTAGATACTGTCAACAATTAATCTAGAAATGATTTAAGGTGTACGGGAGGATGTTGTAGGTTGTGTGCAAAGACTACACCCTGTCAGGTAAATGACACAAGCATCTGTGGATCTAGTGTCTGCA